TAACTGGATGATGTCTTTGATGGCGGCAATCGATCGGCTATTTATGAAGCTAAGCGAAGAAGCCCTAGCATTTGAATGTATTTCAGTTTTTGTAAAAGGACTGCGCTTCAGGGTTAAATAAAACTAAACTTAATTGGTTTGCAAATCAGCTTTTCTGATGGAAGATAAGATAAAACTGTAATTACTTTCGTGATTACAGTTGAACTGAAACGGATAATAGGTTTCGCAATATCAATGCGCCCCCATGATGTTGGAGAGGCGAAAATAAAAACACTTTACCAAAAAAGGTTACGTTTTTTTGTTTGTTTGTTAAACAGATACCTACAAGCTTTAATTAATAATTATTTATAGCTGCCTTACGTAAACGAAAAACACATCAAATAAGAAATAATTAAATTTTGATATTTCTATCAAAGATCAGTTGCCTTTAAGATATTAAGTAGCAAATTTTCCAATTTCGCGGACATGTAGTGTAGTTTATAACAGTTAAAATTCTATAAACAAATACGTGGACCCGAATTTAATTTGAACAAAGTGTCAAAGGAACAATAACGTTTAATGGTATTCCGTGTTTCGTTTAATATATTCATATTAAATTTCACGTCTGAATCCGCAATTAACATTTGCATTGTATATTTCAAAATTATATGGTATAAAATTTAATAGTGCTCTATTATTATCCATCATAGCCCGATACCTCACACAATGGACTAGCATACTGCACAAAAAGATTATTCATTTTTAAGTCGCTCCGCACGGCACTGCAAATTTAAATTAAATTATGGGTTTTTAATTTAAATTACCCGTCATTATCCACTTAATAGTGTCGCTCACTACTTATCCACCGTCTATTAGACTTACTTTTTTCAAGAATATTGTTACACCATCAAATACCACCACCAATTTGCTTCGTCGCGCGTCGGGGAAATGCAGATCTTGAAAATTTAATATAATAAAACATGACCAGTAGAAATTACCTACTCAAAAAAACATCAAAAATTCATCAAACACTAAAACAAGCGGGCAACATGCCTCCGCGCCGCCAGTCGAGGGAGAAAAATTCAATATTTGGTAATATTTTAAACGAGAACTCCTCTCCAGTCTAGAGTGGAGGGTTGAAGTAAGCTCATTAAGTTAATGACGTGTGCTTTGGAGCTCCTTTGATATATTTTATGCAAGTTGATGTCCGCCGAGCAAATGATTTGATTCCGCAACTCAGATACCTGCTTTATCGACTCGAACAATCTACTCCTGGATGGAGGTGCTTCAATATTATCAGATCCTTAGACTCCGTTGACTTGACACGCTACATTTGTGTTTTATCTAATTTTAAGGTGTTTCTGTATTTCGGATTCTTTGAAGTGACTTTCCAGACACACATTTTTATTTCTTTAAGATTACCGGGACGAAATCTCCAAGCGCTCGCCTCGTCAAATCGTGGGAGGGGAAAAAAGCGAAGTTGTGAATAAAATCTTGAGTTCAATGGTTAATTTTCTCTGATGAACTTGACGCTATTACTTATACGTGAGGTTTTTTAAGAATTGATTGGATTTACATAGTCTTATTTCGATTTGCGAGATTTGGTTTTTGTCGAATTTCTTTTTTTAACATGTCGATACTGCCATGAGGCGCTGAAAAAAATTGATAGTGCCATTCTAGTGCAAATGATTATAGATTTCCTGTAAGTCTGTACATTAAGATTTCCTAAAAAATAGTTTTAAAAATGTAGGTAAGTAGTAGGAATCGTAGAAGTTTGAATTGAAGGCTTCCCGTCTAAATTTGTATAGTTGCCCGACTACAGAACAGGGGAATACATTACTTAATTTTGATTTTTGCTAAAGGAAAAAGTTTACAGTTTTAAAGTTACCACAAAACTGCGTACGTGTTTGACGGCCGCCTTATCAGAATGTACGTCCTCTAGGGGAATTAAACATGGGGTCTGCAGGCAAAAGCTACCACTTTCCATTTAGATTCGCGACAATGGCACTGCCACGCGACTAAAATATTGAACTCAGCCCGTCCCGCAAACTGACAACTGTAGAAGATTTGAATTCTGCTACATTACATTCGGGGGTTATTTATAAGTGTATTTCTGAGAGAGATTTAGTAAAATATTTGGTTATTGTATTTAGATAAAATTTTTAGTGGGATAATCATCAAAATGCAGCAAATTTCCTATATAAAACGTTTATCTTTATTATTGTATTGTCATTATCATTTACATATTAATTAAGATAAGTATTTGTTAAGCTAGCGTGTATCTGTTCCTTATCATAAGTGTATGTATAATTTTTGTAACTTTCATTTACAAATCCTGTCCTTAGATACTAATTGTATAAATAAATTTCATTTAAGTTTGATTTAAAATATTATTTGAGTTTAGTATACGAACATTTTTTTATTAAACGGCAGATCATGTAAAATTTGTCGCATATAAGCTGTTCTGAAATCAACATAATATTTTCATGAAGGCTAGGAGTTTTCGTATTTATAAATCGATTATTTGTGTTTATGGTGCAACCTTAGGTGGTTGAGAAACTTTGCAAGGAAGTTTTAGTGTCTTGGATTTTATAAGAGCTGTCGAAGTGTAGAGGTATACGTTCGATAAGTCGTTTGATTTAAAACTTTGTCCGATCACGTGCCCTTTGTTTTACTTTTTCAATTCTCGCGTACTGTGTTTTTAAACTTTTTTATTGGAGAACTTTTTGACAGACTTTAATTTTAAATTACTTATATAAAATTCAATACGGAACTCCAGTGATACAGTCCGAAGTCTGAAACTGGGATACATTTTTAAGGAAAGTTGGAAAGTGGATTTTATAAGAATTAATGAATAAATTAAATTAATATAGTTAATAACAATACTGTATTGTAAGAAACAAATACATAATATGTAATGGTATTTTTTCAGTTGATATTTACATATGGTTATAATTATTACATCAACAGGGTGAACCTTAAATTTATTCAACCTTTTAATAAATGAATCAGATATTTATTTTAAACTTGACTTTTTATTTTTGATTTTTTCGCAAAAAAAACTTGAATTTATGTACCCGGTAAATTTTTAAAAATATTTAATCTTCAAATTGTTTAGAAAAAGTAAATACTTGTATGGATTAGTCAGTACCTATCAAGGACATTTAAGTTTATCTGAACGGTTTTCCTTATTCTAATGATAGGATGTTGCCAGCCAAAAGAATAAAACATTATTCCTAATTCACATCGTACGTAATTAATGTATATTAGTTGGGACGAGATTTTTGTGGTTTATTGTCCGTAGCAGGCCAAACGATCCTGGTTTTTATATAAAGCTTAAACGAGAAATATGTTCTTTTCAGTCCGACACGGTTAACGTAATGTTTTTATTTCTTCTTCTTTTCTGGGGTGTAGAGCATAAAATTAGTTGCTTTCACAGTCTTAGAGCATGCAAGGAGGTCGTTTAGAATCCAGGCGGATATGACTAAGGTGTCTCTACAACTTACACCATTATGAAAAGTTCCATGGAAGTTTTTTAACAAAAAAATAGAAACGGTGTTACATCTCCCTGTCATAAATAAAAGGGAAAAATTGGATCGTTAAGAATATTTATTTTAATTGCCCCCTCACCCGGATTTTGTTACTGCTAAGTTACTTTTTACGTAAATACAGGGTGAAAGAAAAACACCAAAAAATAAATGCCTTTTTTGAAACAGTACTACTTATCAATAAAAAATTCCTAAACCTTACTGACGTGGCTGAAGGGGTTAGACGTAATTAAATAAAATTGATTTTAAAATTTAATATTATACTTATGAATCTTGTTTATTTATCGAAATGCTTTTAACCTTATTGCAAGGAGAAAACTTATCAAATTGTTAGTATGAAAAAAAGCATGATTTGAAGCCAAAACTGTTTATTTCTTTTTATTTTATTACGTTTTACTAATTGAATGAATGGTGAAAAATTACACTAATCACCATCCGGTGAAATAAAAAGTTGTATTTTAACATAATCTAAATCTTATTATTTTAGTAATTTTTCATTTTACCAAAATATAATTGCCCACTCGAAGGAAACGAATTTACTGTTTCAAACAAGGCTTTGCAATCATTTATGAAGGCTCTGTTTTTATACTTAGACATAGATGTACAATATGTGATCCCAAATCGTATTTTTTGTATTTCAAAGGACATTTCTCAGATACATCATACTCGTAGGACAACACCTCATTTCGAATTGTTTACAAGAATCAAGATTCCCCTGCCGGTGCTACACCGTTTACCGTTACACTCCCAGCGAAAAAAAAAACGCTGGAAATTATATCGTGCATTATACATGCCCCAATGGACCAATTTGCTACGCTGTTTTCTTAAATTTGTTTTATATTCCGAGATACTAACTCGCATATACAGAAGAAGACTTCGCGGCCTGAATTCCAGGACATTTTTATTCGCAAGATCGCTGTAAAGCTGTCTAGCGGAGTTAGATAGGGTGTCACATGTTGTGGTTTATGATTGAGTTCTAGCCGGGGGTTACTAGAAACGCTGCGGATAACAAATTAGAGTAGTCTGCAGACGCCCCCGGTTATTTCAGTTTGTTGAATTAATTTCAATAATCATAAATAACGTTCCCCATAAACACAAATTTGCATTTATGTTCACACGAGTTAATTTCGGTCGTATTTATTCCAAGGAATTTGAATACAAAAGTATCGAAGCTGCAATGGCGATTTACCCTTACGTACCTACCTACTCTTTCAAAAATTCTAGATGGAGCTGTCTTATTAAAAGATGGGATGATAAATTAATTTTTTTAGCTTCTTTAATAACATTTAGAGTATGTTCAGTTACGCAACAATAAGATATGTACATTTTGAATCCAGACTGGAACTTGAAAACACAAAAAAATAATAGCGAATCAAACCCAGAAAGATAAATTTTAATCGAGTTTGTGTCCTTAAAGTAACAATTACAATCTAATATAATCTCTCATAAAAGATATGCAAAAATCATGGTTCAAGTGGTATCCTTTTTTACTCAATTACACATTAATTTGATACGAAGTGCAAAATAACTTCATTAAATCAGAATAGTAGTTGTATAAATCGCACTTCAATAGTTTGATAAAAAGACTAGCTCCTTGCGGAGATTAGTTGAGACTGAGACACCATGTATATCATATTACTAGTTTCTGTTTTGTTATTTTCCTCAAGGTCTCTGGCAGAGGTCGTGATAACTGCACGTGAACCTATAATTGAAGAATTAAATAATGTCACAGCGAGAGGTCTTTTTGGATTTGATGTGGTAAGTTAAAATATTGTTATTTTTATTTCAACAGCCCGGAAAATACGAAAATTTAATATAAATTATCTAATAAATAAAAGTAAATCAAAATTGCGTTGTATTTTATTAAATATTTAATATGTTAGTAAATAAATCAAACAGATAACCGTATGGCGTATTCAGTTAGTAATACCAGTGAAGTTTCTGTAAAAAAATTGTTTTTACCACCGCATAATTTCACATGAGCTAGTAAATACATATTTCATGAAATTGACTCACATCAAACCAATATATACTTGTTTAATTTTCACATCACAAAAAACAATTTAAGTATTTTTAAAAATATAGTCAAAACATTTACCTACCGTGGCAATACGATAAATTATTGTATCAGTAATCAAAGTATCAAACGCTTGAGATATTCAGATAAAAGTAGCTCCGTTAAGTACCTACTATAATATATTAATAAATATGTAGATAAAATATTTTATTTAAAAATAAGTAAAAATTTATATGTATACAATTTATTATACGCATTTAAATGCGACGTGACTCTCTACTTAAACAGAGAAAGAGGTCGATTTAAAGTTTCTTTATTAGAAATATTTGTGTATTTTTTATTGCACTTGTTTCCAGAAAGCTTTCTTGGAGAAAAACGGTTATCCCTTTGAAAACCATAAATTAACAACCCAAGATGGATATGTTTTAGCTATTCACAGGATACCTTATGGAAGAAATTCATCAGCAAGCACTTTTAAGAACGAAACAAAACCAGCAGTACTGATTATGCATGGTGTTGGAAGTAGCTCAGTAGATTACATGATACTAGGCCCTGAAAGGTCTCTTCCTATGATACTTGCCGATCAGGGATACGACGTTTGGTTGGGCAATAATAGAGGAAACACATGGTCAAGGAAACACGTTACTTTAGATCCCGATAAAAATGACACATTTTGGGACTTCAGGTGATATTCGTATACACAAATATAATATATTATAGACACATTTATAACATTAGAGTATAAAGATAAATATCCATTAGGTATGTAGCTACATATTTTGATTTTGTGTTAAAATTAGATCACTTACATACGTTTCATATTATATGATATGCTAACCATCTTGCCATTATAGTTTCCATGAGTTGGGACTTTACGATGCATCAGCCATAATCGATTACATATTAAATGCAACGCGGAACGAAAAGATTTCGTACATAGGCCACTCGCAAGGATCAACTGAGTTTTTCGCATTAACATCAGAGTTGCCACAATATAACGACAAAGTAAACATAATGATGGCGCTAGGTCCAGCTGTGTATTGCAAAAATTTGACAAGTCCTATTGTGCGAATACTCAAAGACCATTATAAGTTGGTAGAGGTAAGAATTCATGAAAACAAGATATATATAGGTTTATAGGTTGTATATTAATTTATATTACCTACCGATATCTAAAATTTACAAAAAATCTTTAATATTGGCGTTTGTATTGCCGTTAAAGCTATTATTTTTATTTTAGTCTACCGCTGACTATTTTAATTTAACAGCTGAGATTCTAGGACATACATTTATAATTGAAACTGCTCTGAAACTAATATGTAAGAACGAATCTCAATATCAAGAAGTTTGTCCTCTTATCTTATTCCTTCTTTTCGGATTTGATTCTGAACAATTTGAAAGGGTAAGTACTTCCACACATACAGTTCAATTTGTCTCTAAAGAATATTAACTAAGTATCACACATACTCATATTCATCAAAGTTTCAACCTACCTACCTATTTTCGTTGAATAATAAATAGTAAAAAGCTATTTTATATATTTATCCAAAATAAAGTAGACACTTTTCTTTTTTTACTGTTGAAGAAAATAGTCACTACATTTGGTTGTTTTAGTCGATTGTGACCACAATGGTGGAGGTTTTTCCGGCAGGACTTTCTATGAAGGAATTAAAACATTATTTGCAGCTAGTTAAATCAGGTAATTAAAAGGCGTTTATTTGATTTAAAATAGAAAATGTTAGATGTTAGTTGAAAGGAAAACAGGTTAAACAATTATACATAGACCAACTTTTTCGATATTTATCTTATGTTTAACATTGGAATATTAGTAGTTGAAGTAGTAATGTTTTTTAAAAAATTACTGGGTGGATTCTCATTTTTAGGGCATTTTAGACAATTTGATCATGGGGAGTTAAACAATTTGGAAATATATAATAAGTCATCACCTCCTGATTACGATATTTCACGTGTAACGGCTCCCGTGGCACTTTATTATGGAAAAAACGACTGGTTGGTAGGAACAGCTGTAAGTGTAAACTTAAAATAGGTATACGATTCATTTTAATTTTGGAAAATATCCTGTACAAAATCTTAGAGAATAATACTTAACAAGTTTTTCATCAAATTATAAACTGTTGTTTTATAAAACTTTGGCATTTTAAGGATATCGACCAACTGGCTGAAGAACTACCCAATTTAGTCGAAAACTATCTAATAGAATATGATTATTTTAATCATATGGACTTTATAGTTGCAAAAGACGTTGTTTCCTTGTTGTACTTCGATCTGATCAACAAACTTAATGAAATAAATGGTTTGGCTCCTCTTCCTGCAACTTCAACTGTTTCCACAAACTATATAACTACTACCCTAACCAATGATCCCACGACTCAACCTTCATATACTGAAACTGAAAGCCAAAGTTTTACCACACCAGGTTCTGCATTGTCTATCAATAATTTTGCACGTATATCTTTCCTTTTCGTACTTATGTTGAGATTTGTGAGATAGGCCGTAATTATTGACAAAATATACGATTTATTAATTTTTAAAACATTTTTTTACACTGTAAAATTATATATTATACAGGGTGGTCCGAATTTTATGCAGGAAACTTCCAGGGCAGATAGATCTCTTTAAAATAATATGTGTTTGCTTTATAAACATAGGTCTGGAACGGCACCGTTTTAGAGATACAGGGTGTTGCAATTGTCAAAAAAAAATGGAATTTTTGTTTATATCTCCGGAATCTATTACCCGATCTCAATAAAATTTGGTACATATAATGTATGATAGTAGGCCTTATATTCCCTGAAATATGAGGTTTAAAGGTTCAACCAGTGGTGTACAACTGGACTGGGGTCACCCCCTTTTTTACAAAAAAACCTACGCCACTGCATTTTTTACATGTCATTGTAACTGATTTATATTTTAATGCTCAAAATACGTAAAAAAAGGTGACTTTAATTTTTTCCCTAAGATTCGCCGTTCTCAAGTTATTCATACCAATACAATCCCCTTGTGGCAGACACTTCTAACGATAATATTACAAAAATACGAGTATTTGTTTATGTTTAAAAGTAAGTGCAATTTGTAAGCACATCAACAAAATTATTTACACTTCTTTCTACACCACCTGTGAGGTGGTGTGCGATATAAACAAAAAATCAATTTCTTTTAAAACCTCAACACCCTGTAACTATAAAACGGTGCCGTTCCAGACTTATGTCTATAAGGCAATCACATAAAATTCGGACCACCCTGTATAAGTAAAATAGAGTTATTTAATAGAAAACCTTTTTTTTATACTTGACAAAATCTTCGGTTAAACATCTCTAAATTTTTGGATATTAAAGAAGAAAGAAAAGCTCAGCTGAAGCAATGTAGGTACCTAGGTATAATACCTAAGAATGTTGAAAAATTTATTTTATATTCCTAATTATTTAGTGATTAACTCAAAAGAATGAAAACGAATAAAAATTAACCTATTAGAATTTGATAAAAATATAGTACCACTTGCCACTTCTTAGATTTAAAAAAAATACTAGATATTTTACCTATTTAAAAGGAAGGTTCCATTACTACGTTCTCCTCCAAAGGAAATAAATAAATTTTTGATTGAAAAAATAATCATTTGTATCGATTTAAAAACGTCTCACTGAATATGCATCACACAGATTTGCATGAAATTATTCTCAACATTTGAATTTGAATTTTACGTAGGGTCAGTGTTTGCAATTCACAGTCCACAAAAAATTATGACCGTATATAAATAAACCATTCATTTTCAGTCCGTATCCTCCCCGGACCATATTTCAGGGCCGAAAACGACCCGAGGTGGACACTTTATTAACGGAGTGCTTACCAAAAATCTAAATAACTGCAATTATGACTAAGCAGGGTAATTTCATGCTGGATCGAAAGCTTTTTAAGCAATTACATTCTACTTTAAATTTAGACTACGTTTTGAGTAGTGAAATTAAATGAAAATAGCTCGGGGCATAAACATTTGCGATGAAAAAGTTTATTTGGGTAAAGATCTCGTTTGCGCGCTTGCAGATATTCCTTTCCGATTTTTGCAAACAGACAGTGAGGATTGTACAGTTGTCAGAATTATTTATTTTTACATAATTAATACTAATCATTTTCATTTCGATATCTCTCAAAGCAATGTTTATCCTTTGCTTATTGCACTGCAAAAGGAATTTTAGTCGTATATTAAAATTCTTAGAAGATAAATCGTAATTCTTTACTGAAAATTCCATTTGTGGAATACGTTCATTAATTATTGCTTATCCGTTAATCATTTCTGTCAGTTTGCTCGAAACAAATTTAATTAAGCAGCACTTAATTAATAACACGGAGCGCATAGTGGAAAAGATATGTTAAAATCATCTCTTTCCCGATGTTAATTCTCCAAATGTTAAGCACACATATAAGTGCGGGTATTATTTAAATAAATGACTAAATTACTGTTAAGTAGGTCCTTTAAGTTTATAGACGCAGAAATTATAAAAAAATGTTACAGAATCACAGTTTCTACACTGTTATATATTATTATTTAATACCGAACTGAAGTAAAAAAATATTCTCGTTGCTAAAATAATGTTAGAAAGCTGATTAAAGGATGTAATACTGGAACATTATTGTTGGGGAAAGTGCGACCAAAAAAATGCATGTTTTTGTCATTGGTTTTTGTAACTGACTTTCACTAGCATATGATGTACACCAAAAATAAAATAAAGTCCACATATATGTATAGTTTGAAAATTGAGAACATTTCATGGATTACCCTGTATGTCCAAAAGTTATTGCCTAGAACTGTTTAGGTGGTCACTCCATACATGATTACCTACATTTTCCCACTTTGCTATTACAATACAGTGATTACATAACACAATCTGTTCTTTTTACGAACAACTCAAATTATGTAATTTTTTTATACCTAGAAGTTACCTACGTGTTATGCTAGCTTTGTGGAAAAATAACACATTTTTAACTGAACTCTAAAATGGTGTTCGCGATATGTTGAAAATTAACATACGCTGATAAAATGTTTACCGAATTAATATATATATATANNNNTATATATATATATATATATATATATATACAAATATGTCATCTAGTGGCTACAGTACCACAAGAAACTCCAAAATTTCAATATCAGTGAATATTTCTCCTTTTGAAAAACTCGACAATTGTTTTTTTTTAGATTTAACTGCAATTAACAACAATATCATCGATTTGAAACCAAGCGACGAAATAAGAACTACGCTTTCGATTTTAAAGCAATCAACGCAAAATATTCGCCAAATTATTTTTAGACCCTATAGATTTACAAGCGCGAAAGGAATCACCCGATTGTTACTATCATCTAGGTAAGCTTTTCCTTCTGCACCACATTTTACGGGCTCGCCTAACTAGAAAAAGGAACGACATTGATTTATAGTTGAATCCTAATGGTAAATAAAAATAAGTGCAGAGTGGTGTTATGTTTTATGTTTTAAGGTCGTTCCATTTGCCGGATAATTAATCTTTTCTATTACTTCTTGAGCTCCTTCTGCGTTTAGCCATGTTTGGGAATTAACTTTTAAAAAGCCTTCAGACATACAAAAGTTTGGACTATACTAACCAATTTATTTTAAGAACGTTTGTTGTTGCCAGACTTCTATTTTAAAATATATATTTTATTAGGTCTCGTATTTTTTACACTATTTTAAAGGTATTATTCTAATTTCACCCATGCTTTGAAAAATCATTAAAAAAACCACGGGGCACAAATCTGGCCAAAACTACAAAACCCTAGACAGCACATCACGACAGCTACGACAGCCCCGATAGCCGCCAAAGCTTACATCTATAGAAGAAATATTTCATGTGTGTTTGGACGTCCACTTCAACACCATGCAGTTCAATAACCATTTAAATTTGTATACTTTTCTCTCATACACAGATGTTAGAACATTCCATTTATTGCAAATACAAAAATTTCTAAAAATTTACACAGGAATACTTAGTTAAAAATTTGTCTAAAAAATTGTCACGAGCACAATGCAATGCTCCCATAGCTCACGTGGCACCTACCACCAGGCACTGTCTTAACATGCGGTGACGATCCTAAAGGACACAAGCTCCTAAAGCTTCTATACACAAGCTCTAAAAGCTGCCATACTAGGCGTTCCAAGGAGGCATCATAAACTCAAGCCCTTAAAGTTTCCATGCAAAAGTAAGCACTCTAAGGAGATCACACATACTCGTACACACACACAAACTTTAGTGCTACAGCCTAGCATGTAAAACAGTGATATCAAGACACAAAACCGACAACCGTACGTGTTCTAACCCAAGCGTCCGTTGCGGTTAGCATGATGAAAATTTATTTTTACGGATATCAAATTATTATTAATTGGTGAACAGCCCGTAACTCTTTTATTTCTCGACCTAGATGGTAGATTTAATTTTTTGACATTTTCAACGGTTAAAAAGATATGGACGGGGATTTGTTAGGTTAGGTTTTAGTCAGTTTTTGAAACTTACTGCGTATACATTTAATATTTCTTATGACGACAATAAAATAATATAAAAATCGCATTTAAGACACACTGAAGGGTCGTATATTTACCAACGCACTATATTTTTAATGCAAAACAATTTCCCCTCCGATAAATGTTCTTAAACTGAACTTTATAATCGATAAATGGAACAATAAAATATTCACCAGCGCTGCAGATGCATTGAATCAAATCTGTAATTCCCCGCACGTCGTCTGCTTATTTCATTTATTCCTGGGCCATTCGTCACTAACAATATTTGTCGAAATCATAACAAAATATCGGATGACGTGCCGAGTCAAATGCACTAACAATAAAAATGTGCTCCAAGATTTCACTGCCCATAAAATTTCTGAAAATGTAAATTTTATCCGCTAAATTTTATCGTCCTCGTAAAATTTTACCGTGGGGATGTCTGAAGCTATTCCTTTATTGTTGTACTTTATTTACTTATTACCCTAAGCTATAACTACTATTCTGTTACTGCGATGAAATCATGCCTTGATAATAGATAAGACTTTGGTCTGAATTTTGTATAAAATTTAAAAAAGTCAAAATAGACATTGAATATTTGCTGAGCTTAGAAAAATTATATATCTTTTGTAAATAAACAAATTAAAGGTTGCAGAATCTTAATTTTGTAATTTAATAAGAGTAGGTATGTACCTACCTACTAATAAAATGGAAAAGTAAAATACTTTTAACTTTATAGTCATTAAAAGATAGAATATAAAAATCATTTATAGATATATCGTATAATTATGTTACAAAATGCAGTAAATAATTCACCCAATTCATTCTGCGGTTAATACGTCAGTTTTTAATTCCTGTATATAACTGATAAATCAGTGAATTTCGATTTAATGTGCAAACGTACCTAAATGTTACTTCCACTGTGCCCTGAGGAAATAACTCCAGCAAACGGTATGCATTTGTGAAATCGTAAATTCATTAAACTTGTAGCAATTTAATTTGGAAACGTAGATAAACATTGCCAATA